TGAGCATCCTCCTCTCAGGCAACATCACTGGTTGCTGGGGGTGCTGAGCACCCCATGTAAGTCCTGTTTGGGTCCCCAGCACTCATGGCTCAGTGTGTGTTAAATACTGACAGCATCCCTCAGCCTGGCAGCGTTGGGCAATATCACTGATCTCCAGCTTGGAGTTATGAAGGGACTTGGGCACCATCTCAAGGTGGAAATGGGCTCTCAGCTCCATCCTGACTCTGCTGGGCGCTCGCCATCACAGGCTGGGGGCAGGAGCGCCACTTTGAAAGCGCAGGTTTTCCTGCCACAGTCCTCTGCCTCAGTGGAGTTTGGGGTCCACATGGTCCTTTTCCCATCCCCATGGGACATGCATTGTCCCAGCCGTATCCTCAGAGGTCTGTCCATCCCGCTGCTGCCCCCCTCTTTGCCAGGAGAAGGGAACAGCCTGGAGGGGCAAAGCACCAGTAACAACAGCCCTGGTCCTCAGCACCCTGCAGTCCTGGCGGTGTTTGGCCGCTCCCCCCTGCCCCACAGGGGCTCTTCAGCCTCCCAGCGTTCCACTAGCCCTCTCTCCTCTCCACTTCGGGGCCCCTCCCGTGGGATCCCCGGGCAGAGCAAGGGGCACAGCCGGGCACTGGGGTGGGGAGGGAGGCGGCGAGCGGCCTTTGGCCTGGCCAGACACGGCAGTGGCGAGAGGTGGGAGGATGGAGGGGGAGGGGAGGCGGTGGTATGTGAGGAATGTGCCCGGAGCAGATAACCCCTTCCCACTGGGTGCTGGGTGCTGTGCTCAGCCCACCTCCCGGGGACGGCGCCGGGGGCTGCTTCTGAGCAGTGAAATGGAGGAGGCCAGGGAGACCCATCGCCCGGGAGCTGTGCTGGGGAGGGCTGTGGAGAGCACGTGCCAGAGGAGGGAAGACTGGCGGGAAGGGGGGGGCACAGCTAAGCTCTGCCCAAAATGCTGAGGCACCCACCCCCATGGCCCCCCTGGGAGTGACAGCAGTGGGGGGACACCGGGTGCTGGGGTCAGCGTCTTTCCTTGTGCCTGGGATGCAAACGGGACAGGCAGCAAGTGGGTTTGGGGTTTGGGGGCCGAGGGTGTGGGCAGGGAGCCCTGCCTGCAGCCCATGGGGCAGCCCTGGGGAGGGGGCGATGCGGCGGCAGGAGAGGCCCCGGTGCGTCCCAGCCGGGCCCCCCCCTGCCCGGGCAGGCGGGGAGAGCATCGCTCCGGGGCCCGGCAGGGATGTCCCGGCTAGGGGCGGGGGCGAGCATGGGTCTCCAGAAAAGTTCTCGGTAACCTCCTGCGGTGACTTGGAGCTGGGATTCCCCGGGATGGCAGCGCTGCCAGAGCAGATCCTCTGCCCGGGGCTTCACCTGCCTCCTGGTTTGTGAGAGCTATTCCTGTCTGGAACATCTGCTCTTCCCCCAAGTCTTCTTGCTGGTGGCCAGAGCCAAGATCCAGATGCAAACGTGATGCTCCAGAGATCTCCCCAGTCACTCGTGAGCAGCTTCGGGCAGTTAACTGTTGTAAGGCAGAAAAACTTATTTAGCTCATTTCCCTCAGTCTTAAACACAGAGGAACGTTATGTTTTGTTTAGCCTTGCCCATGAAACCTCGAGGTCCTCTTGGCTTGCCTCCCTGCATGCCCTTTTTGTACAAAATGTTACAGCTGTGATAAAAGCCAGGGAGGCTTTAGAACATGGATGTGTAGGAGCAGGCAGTTGCTGAAGCAGCATTCTTTGGAGTGGAACATCCCTAAGTGTCAACAACCACCACTGCTGACCAAAGATGGTTGGGTTTCTTCAGTCACTTGAATTTTTTTCCTCTCCTCACTGGCAGGCTCTGTGTGGCTGTAGGAGGAGTTTGCGGTCACCTCCCCCTCCCAGGCGCTGCGGACAGATTCCCCTGCCAAGGTGAGCCCCTTAAATCTCCTGGGGAAATATCAAACCCACTCCAGGGCGTTATGCTGGTGGCCCAAGACCTCGAACACCTTCTGCCCTACGGTCCTGTTTCCCAGCTTACCTATTCGAAGGGTGCTAGGTGCCAGGTCTTTTGCATGGTGATGGTGTTGGTGCTCTGTCTTCTTGTGGTGGCCCTAGAAGTTGCCCTTTGGAAGGGTTTGTGCATGCCAAATGGGCACGGGGAGGTCCTTGTCCCCTAAACTTGTCAGGAAGGACCTTGCCCATAAACATCTGCTGAACTTGCAGCTGAGCCCCACAACTGCACATAGGCTGGACGGGTTCTTGGTGTGTGGTGGGAGCTGAGGGAGGGCTGGGATCAAGTCTCCCTCCCAGGGGTCACTGCATGCTTTCCTTTGGCTCTCTGACGCTGCCCTGCTCCTCCCTGTTTGCACAGGGAAACTGCTCACTGGTTTCAGTGCTGATGGACGCAGCTGGGCCAGGGACACAGCCCAGGGTTTGGGTTCTACTTTCCCCTCGCCTCCAAACTCCCTCTTCCACAACCATCTCTAATAAGGCCAAAAAAGGAGCAGAATGGCTGCCCACCTCTGGTCCTGCAGTGCTGAGGGAGATGGGGGGCTCCTCCTGCAGCTCCCAGTGCCTCTGGCTGTCAGTGTGCCCCCCCCAGCACTGACACCCCTTGGCAGAAGGCACAGAGCGGAGCAATCCTGAGGGTATCCTGGATAGGGCTGTGCTGGAGGAAAGGGGTGGTTTAACAACAGATTAGGCATGGAAGATGAGCTGCTCCCTGCTCCCTCCTCCAGCGTATGACAACCTGGTCCGCGTGTCCCACTGGCCCCGGAGGCAGCAGGATGTCCGCTCCCGGGCAGTGCCGGTGCTGGGAGAGGTGCCTGGCAGACAGCAAAGCTTTATAGGTGGAAGGATGCCCTGGCTGCAGTGCTGCCCTGCAGCCTCCTGTGCCAGTGTGGGATGCTGCAAGGTGTCACCCACACTGGCCCTTGTGCCTCCCTGGGCGAGGGGATCGAACTCTGCCTGTGCTCCACTCCCTGCGGTGCTGTCCTGTGTCAGGGAGTGCCTGGCTGTGCACGGTGGAGGGACAGCCCTTGCACATGAGTAAACCCGGCCGTGTTGTGGCTCGCTGGTATTAGCAATTAATTTGAGGAAGTGCCATTGGGCAGAGATTTAAAGACAGTACCCCCAGGGTGCCATCCTTCACCCTGAAGCCCTCTGGGACTGCCAGGACTGTTTGAGTTCCTCTTTCCCCACCCAGACCAAAAGTATCCAGCAGATGCACATCATGCATCTTGTGGCGGAGAGGAGTTTGCTGTGAGCAGGTGATGTCCCTCTCTGGCTGTGCTGCAGGGCAGCCCCACGTGGTGCCGGAGCCTCTGCAGTACTTTTAGAGGTGGCTCCTGCAGTTGTATGACCAGCTTTTGGGGAGCCACCCTTGGGGAGCCCTTAGCAGCATATCCCGGGTGATTGTAGCTTCTGAATGCATGGGAACACCCACCCGGGGCCCGGGAACAGGCTGCTGCCACCTCAAGGGGAGCTGCCCCGTTCCCTCCCTGCCTGGGCACCCTTCTTCATGCCACCCAGCCCACTGGCCCAGTAGTAGCTCCCGGCCGTTTTATTTCTCAGCTGGGATAGTGAGCTGGAGCAGCACAGGAGAAGATGCTGGGTAAGGAAGGGTGGAAGCAGTCAGGAGGAAGGAGGATGGGGCCTGCCTGCCCTGGCAGCACTGCCATGTCCCTCTGGCTTATCCCACCCTCCCCAGCACGGTCAGGAAGCAGCACCAGGATGGAGCTGCTCGTTTGGTTTTTACCAAGGAGGAAACACATGGTGGTTTATTTTTCTGATAACTGTGGGTGTTTGCACTTTCTCTTTAAAACTAAACTATTTTCCTTACTAACTTAAAGACTTTTTAAGACAGCCCTGTGACCCCTTTGGTCTGACTCTCAGGTGGGGAAGACAGAGGCCCAGTGGTGCAGGAGGCAGGGAGATCATCTCAGCACAAGCGGTGGCAGAAGGATGAGGGAATAAGGGCAGGCAGTGATGTGTGATCAGAGCAGTGCATGGCTCTCATGCCAGACTGGCTGGGGTCTCACCCCAGTGCTAACCTCCTCGGCTCTGCTGCCTGAGATCAGCAGCTTCTGGGCTTGGCTGGGGCTTTCAGTGAGGGGTGGCAGGAGTGGGACCAGTCTCTGTGGGTTTCCTTCTTGCTGAGGAGGAAGCTGGAGGTTTGGTGGCTGCACCAGCTGGCTCAGCTGAGTCCACCCCAGCATGCAGGGTGTCATGGTCAGGCATTCCCTGAAACGGTCTGGGCATTGGTTTTTCAGGAATCCCAGAAAGGCATGGGCTCACAGAGCAGGGGACTGTGGCTGCTGAGCCCCTGTGCACAGCACGGATCGCCCCCGTTGAATCAGGCCTCACTGTGAATCACTTCTGTCTCATACAAGAGGCACTTTTCCCTGCACTGACCCCAAAAAGTCCCAGCCAGCCCAAAAGGGTCTGCTAACAGCAAAAATAGAATAGATCAGGAGATGACCTGGCCAAGCTGGACCCTGGGACAAAGTATCTTTCCAGGGCATAATATTTTAGATCAAACAGCAAAACCATGTGCTGTCAAAATCGCACTTAATCTCCCTAACGAGAACCATCTCTCTGGAGAGGGTGCCAAGCCGCGCTTCTGCTGCTGGTCACAGCCGGGGCAGGGTAAATATTTGGATAATATTAATTCATGTGGTGAGAGCAAAACTCCTGCTTATTTCTCTAGTCTTCTGCTAATATTTCTGCTAATAATTTGTCGTGTTTTGAAAGCTGAGCCCAGTGCCGTGGGCCAGCAGCAGAGCTTTTATTGCTGGCTCTGACCTGGCACAGAGAAGTTGTGGTGCTCAGCTGAGCTTCCCCGCGCTGCTGCCTGGGGGATGGTGATGGGCCGGCAGCACCCGCGGGTGTCTGGCAGGGCAGGCAGAAACAGGCTGGCTGACTGCAAAGAGCTTCATGGAGCAGCAAGGCTGGAGGAAGCAGTGGGTGAGAGCTGGCCTGTGCTGGGCTGAGATCTGCCCACACAGGGGTGGGCATAGCTGGACTCTCCAGTCCTGCTGCTCTCCTCAGCTGGCTGGTGACCAGTGTCTCTTTCCTTGGGAGCACTGGGAAAGGACTGAGTGTCTGGGGGGTGGTGGGGTGATTTGATGGCTGCTGTTAGACACTAGGTGCCAGTCAGGGCAGCTTGGGGCAGTGTGGTTTCCATCCCAGTGCCTGCAGCCACTGGAGCTCATGGGCAATGAGGTGGGGACTGTCTCCCCAGGACATGGAGCATGTCCCTGGTAGATGAAGGTCCCAGCTTGGGCTTGACGGGTGCCGTCAGGCTCTGTGGTGCGGTGTGCTGCTCCCTCAGTGGGACAGGAGCCGGTGTCGGGGTTGGGGGAGAGTCCTCAGCCCCCTCGGAGCTTGGCTGGGCACCGTGGTGCTGGGCAGCCCTGCCAGCACTGATGTGGTGGCTGTGATTTGGCACTTACACAGCCCCTGGGATGTCCTTCCAGCGCAGGCCAGTTAGGGGAGCCTGGGGACCACAGCGGGGTGGGGACCAGGCTGGTGGCTGCTCTGCCCCTTCCTCTGCAAGCCCTTGAAAGAGGGATAGCAGGTGGGGAGGGAAAGATCTGGAAAGTGGGTGAGGTCTGGGGGGCTGGCAGGAGCTGTGGGGGTGCAGGGGAAGGCCATCTGCTCTGCCCTAGTCCCTGACAGCGCTGGGTCTTGCTGGGAGAGAAGCTCCCCAGGGCCCTGCAGTCCATTGGGGTGCATCAGCATTAAGGACCGAGCCGGGAAATGGATCCTGGGGCAGCACGCCCAGGGTGGCCAGGCCAGCCGGGCACGATTGCTGGCACACAGCTCCCTGGGCTTTTTGCTTTGTGCTGCTTTATGCAACATGATGTGGCTCCTTAACTGCTCTGTGTCCCCTGCAAGAGAAGGCAGGAATCCAGGCAGCCATGGCATGGGGCACGCAGCAGAGCAGAGTTAGTAATAAAAAATCCCCCATGGAATTAATTTATGATCCTTTAATTTAACATTGCCCCCCATGCCAGACGTTGACCCAGATGGGGAAACTAAGGCACAGGGCTGTGTGTGAGGGAGAAATGACTGTGGTAGAAACATGAGTGCTCTGAGCAGCATCTCAGCAGGGAGGAGTGGCTGGAGCTGTCTGGGAGAAAAGGGTCTGGGAGTTCTCACTGACAAGCAGATGAACATGAGCCGGCAGTGAGCCCAGGTGGCCAAGGAAGCCAACGACATCCCGGCTTGCATTAGAAATAGTGTGACCAGCAGAAGCAGGGAGGTGACAGTCCCCCTGTGCTCTGCACTGGTGAGGCCACACCTGGAGTATTGTGTCCAGTTTTGGGCACCTCAATGTGAGAGAGATCTCGAGGGGCTGGAGCGAGTGCAGAGGAGGGCAACGAGGCTGGGGAAGGGCCTGGAGAATAAATCCTGTGAGGAGCCATTGAAGGAGCTAGGAGTGTTCAGTGTGAGGAGGAGGAGGCTGAGGGGAGACCTCATCCCTCTCTGCAGCTCCTGACAGGACATTGCAGAGGGGTTGGTGCTGGGCTCTTCTCACAGGGGATTAGTGACAGAACAAGAGGGAACGGCTTTAAACTGCAACAGGGGAGGGTCAGACTGGACACGAGGAAAAAACGTTTCCCAGAGTGGTCAGAGAGTGGAACAGGCTGCCCAGGGTGGGGGAGTCCCCATCCCGGGGGGTGTTTACAGGCCGTTTGGATGAGCTGTTTGGATGGGGGATGTGGGGTAGGGGAGAACTTTGTAGAGTCGGGCTGAGGGTTGGACTTGATGATCCTGAGGGGCTTTTCCGACCTGAGTGATTCTGGGATTCTGATCTCTCCCTTGGGCTAATTTCACCCCAGATTTTCTCTTAGGGCTGTGCTGAGCTGTCAGCTGACACTGTCCCTCTGCCAGGCTGGTCTTTGCTGGGATCTTGCTGAGTTCTGCTTGGCAGGATTTGACTGGGAGAGGTCTGAGCATCCTCCTCTCAGGCAACATCACTGGTTGCTGGGGGTGCTGAGCACCCCATGTAAGTCCTGTTTGGGTCCCCAGCACTCATGGCTCAGTGTGTGTTAAATACTGACAGCATCCCTCAGCCTGGCAGCGTTGGGCAATATCACTGATCTCCAGCTTGGAGTTATGAAGGGACTTGGGCACCATCTCAAGGTGGAAATGGGCTCTCAGCTCCATCCTGACTCTGCTGGGCGCTCGCCATCACAGGCTGGGGGCAGGAGCGCCACTTTGAAAGCGCAGGTTTTCCTGCCACAGTCCTCTGCCTCAGTGGAGTTTGGGGTCCACATGGTCCTTTTCCCATCCCCATGGGACATGCATTGTCCCAGCCGTATCCTCAGAGGTCTGTCCATCCCGCTGCTGCCCCCCTCTTTGCCAGGAGAAGGGAACAGCCTGGAGGGGCAAAGCACCAGTAACAACAGCCCTGGTCCTCAGCACCCTGCAGTCCTGGCGGTGTTTGGCCGCTCCCCCCTGCCCCACAGGGGCTCTTCAGCCTCCCAGCGTTCCACTAGCCCTCTCTCCTCTCCACTTCGGGGCCCCTCCCGTGGGATCCCCGGGCAGAGCAAGGGGCACAGCCGGGCACTGGGGTGGGGAGGGAGGCGGCGAGCGGCCTTTGGCCTGGCCAGACACGGCAGTGGCGAGAGGTGGGAGGATGGAGGGGGAGGGGAGGCGGTGGTATGTGAGGAATGTGCCCGGAGCAGATAACCCCTTCCCACTGGGTGCTGGGTGCTGTGCTCAGCCCACCTCCCGGGGACGGCGCCGGGGGCTGCTTCTGAGCAGTGAAATGGAGGAGGCCAGGGAGACCCATCGCCCGGGAGCTGTGCTGGGGAGGGCTGTGGAGAGCACGTGCCAGAGGAGGGAAGACTGGCGGGAAGGGGGGGGCACAGCTAAGCTCTGCCCAAAATGCTGAGGCACCCACCCCCATGGCCCCCCTGGGAGTGACAGCAGTGGGGGGACACCGGGTGCTGGGGTCAGCGTCTTTCCTTGTGCCTGGGATGCAAACGGGACAGGCAGCAAGTGGGTTTGGGGTTTGGGGGCCGAGGGTGTGGGCAGGGAGCCCTGCCTGCAGCCCATGGGGCAGCCCTGGGGAGGGGGTGCCAGTGAGCGCTGCCTGCTCTTGTGACTTCCCAGGGGACTCATTAGAGCCTGAGTCTCGCCTCTCCACACGTCTGACCCTGCGACTGCCTTATCCTGCCGTTGCCAAACCGTGACAGCCAGGGAAACTGAGGCACGGGACTGGAGGTGCCAGGAGCTGCGTGGCCCTGCCTCTGCTCCAGACCCCCAGCCCCAGCCTGCCTCAGCCCTCCTGACACTCCTGCCTGCTGCCCTGCCCCTAGGTACCACCCCACCTGCCAAGATGTCCAGCAAACGTGCCAAAGCCAAGACCACCAAGAAGCGCCCCCAGCGTGCCACCTCCAACGTCTTCGCCATGTTCGACCAGTCACAGATCCAGGAGTTCAAGGAAGCCTTCAACATGATCGACCAGAACCGCGACGGCTTCATTGACAAGGAGGATCTGCACGACATGCTGGCTTCCCTCGGTGAGGAGATCCTTCCCTCGTGCCCACACGTGTCCCTCAGCCCCTTCTGCCCTCAATGCCTCCTTGGCAAGTAGGGGAGAGCTGCTGGGTGACCTAATGCCTCACACCCGGTGTTGAAGACCAGCTTTGGTGGGATGCGGCACAGCCCTCCTGCTTTGGGACAGCCTGATTCTGGCTGCAAAATCTGGGGGATTCTGTGCTGGCACCAGTTGACCGTAGAAGGTCCATTTGTGGAGGCACCCCAGGGCACACAGCTTGGTGTGTTGCTCTTACAGCTCTGCTCACTAGAAGGGAGGAGAGCTCCTTTGGGGGAGAAGTTCTGCCCTAGGAGCAACCACCAGATGTAGCCATTGTTTGAGTAGTCTCACCCCAGAATACTGCTTAGGGTCATCCCTGTGGGACAAAGCCCTCCTGCTGCTCTCAGCCTGAGTGACAGAAGAGACTGGTCCCTGCGCCAGCACGATCCCTTGGCCAGTCAAGACTTGCAGGTCTGGCCATGCTCGCCACCCAGAGCCTGATCTCTGCTGCAGGCCGTGGCTCCCACCTCCTGCTCCCTGCTCCAGCTCCCTGTGGTACCTCCACACACTTTGGGAGTCTGTCAATGATTGACCTGGCAGCCAAACCTGTTCTGGAGGTCCCACCTGGCTGTGGGAAGGACCTCCCTCCTCCTGGTGAGCCCCAGCTCTGGGAGCAGAGAGGGGCCAGGCACTGGGGGCACACAGACCTCAGCGGAGGAGGTTAAACCAACCCTGATGCATCCATGGTGGGAAGAGTGCTAGGGACATCAGCAGCATGAGGCTTGTGTGGGGACATCGCTGCCCCTCACCTTGGGCAGTGGTGGGTGTCAGCTGCCAGGGGAAAGGCAAAAAGCTGTGGGTTTAGTTCCTGGTCATCCCCAGATGAATTCCTGCATCTCCCTTGAGGCTGAGCCTGGCAGAGCTTGGTTCCAGGTGGCCTCTGGCATGGATTAAAGCATGAGGAGGGATGCCAAGGGGGGACCACCAGGCACTGTGGAAACTCCCTTCCCTTGTTCACGGGGTGGGTGAATGTGCACCAGCAAATTAATTTGCAACTAAAAAAAAAAACAAAACAGACGGCTGGGTGTGTAGACTGGGTGCTGGGGGGAGAGCAGGGCCCTGCACCCACATCCCTGCCTGTGTCCGGCAGGCAAGAACCCCACTGACGAGTACCTGGAGGGCATGATGAGCGAGGCGCCAGGGCCCATCAACTTCACCATGTTCCTCACCATGTTTGGGGAGAAGCTGAATGGCACCGACCCGGAGGATGTCATCCGCAACGCCTTCGCCTGCTTCGACGAGGAGGCGTCGGGTACGGGCACTGCCTGCACAGCCCCATGCTCTGCCTGGGCGCTGTGCCCCTTGGGCATGCAGCCAGGATGAGGGCTGGGGCCAAATCCTTGGGGACAGTCCCCAAGCAACTCCAGAGTGGGAGAACTGGGCAGCAGTGTCCTCAGGAGAGGTGGGGAAGGTCCTGCTGCTCAGCCCTCCCACAGTTCCACTGCTAATGCCACTGTCTGCCATCCCTGCAGGCTTCATTCACGAGGACCATCTGCGTGAGCTGCTGACCACCATGGGAGACAGGTTCACTGATGAGGAGGTGGATGAGATGTACCGGGAGGCACCCATCGACAAGAAGGGCAACTTCAACTACGTGGAGTTCACCCGCATCCTGAAGCATGGGGCCAAGGACAAGGACGATTAGAGCCCAGGGCCACTCGTTCCTTCTGTCTCCTCCTGAGCACACCTCCCACCCCTCGGTCCCCCACAGCTGTCTCCCCCCGTGGGAAACACCTCCCAGGACCAGCACCTTGCATCGGGTCACGCTTGGAGGGGAAGTGCTCCCATCACTGCATCGCTGTGTGCCCATCCATCAGCTCCAGGCCTCCCCTCCCATCACCTCTCCCACCCACAGACTCGCTTTGCTGGGACGCCCAGCCTGGCTGTGACCCCCCCCAAGCACCTGTTGACCCCCAAAGCCACCATGCCGCTGGTCCCCAGGGCCAGGGTGAACATCCCAGGTGAGCACTGGCCCGTGGGGATTTTGGCTGCTTGAGCCTGAGCGATCCCCATCTTGGGTCTGTTGCACAGAGAGGAAGCATCTCTCTGCTCTCCTCCCATGCTCCCTTCCTTTGTGAAAGAAAAACCACTTTGTTTCCTCCTCCCTTGCTGTTTTATGGCTTTAGAGCCTGTGATCTGAGGGATTCAGGAAGCTGAAGCGGCGTATAAAATCTGTTGGGTGTGATACGGAGATGTGTGGAGTGTGGGTCCCTCATGGGCCGACGCTGTGCCATGCCATGCTGCCCGCCTGCCTGGTTGCTTTGGAGGGCATCCCCCACCTCACTGCTATCGCCACCTGGGGCCCCTTCCAGTGGGGCAGCCTGTTTTCAAAGCCCAATTGCTCCCAACTCAGGTAAAATCAGCTTGAGCACCATTTCCCACCTTTGCTGATAGGATGGGGGTCGCTCTGCTCAGCCCCAGCATTGGGGTGGGCAGATGGGCAGACTGAGACACACTTGGCAAGGTGCTGGCCACACTCCCCCCATCAGTTGGTTCAGGGTCCCAGGGGCTTGGCCACCCTTTTGTGTTACCCTGAGCAGAGGGAGAGTGGGGGTGAGAGTCAGGGAGGATAAGAAATGGGAGGGGACTTTTCCCTTGGTTTGGTTATTTATCACCACCCTGACAAGGGTGTGGGAGCACAGAGGGCTCCTGCCTTGCAAAGCTGCTGTCAACTGGTGCTTGAAGTCAGCCCCATCTCCCTGCCCTGGAGGGATGAGTTTCCTGCATTTCTGTCTTTAAAAACATGATGACAAACCCACGGAACCTGGTGAGGGCACAGTACATGCTGGAGATGCTTCCAGTGCACAGGGGAAGCTCAGACAGTCTGTGGGCGTGTGCTGCTGGGATCAGAGGGGTCGGCAGCCCCGGCTGTGCTCAGAGACCTGCCAGGCCCAGGGCGATGCTTTCACCTGGGAGATGACCCACAGTTCACAGAATCATAGAATCATCGAGGTTGGAAAGGACCTTGAAGCTCCTCCAGTCCAACCGTTAACCTAGCACTGACTGTTCCCAACTCCCCCAGATCCCTCAGCGCTGGGTCAGCCTGACTCTTCAACCTCTCCAGGGGTGGGGACTCCCCCCCTGCCCTGGGCAGCCCATTCCAACGCCCAACAGCCCCTTCTGCAAAGAAATACTTCCTAATATCTAGTCTAAACCTTCCCTGGCACAAAATTTCTCCTTAGTTCTTGGTGCTTCTATTTCCCAGGCACTGCCAACACAAGGAAAGATGAACTGAATTATCAGGGACACAGAGATGTGAAAGGCTGAACATGTGCTCTCCTGGGGAGCTCCCCAGGACCATCACTTGTGCTCTGCAGCCACAGCCTCAAACCAGCCCACCTCCAGGCTTGCAGATGCCAAGCTCCTTCCCTAGTTCTCTCTGTAGGGGGGAAAAACCTGCAGTTCTCCCACTTCCAGAGCAAAGTCCCAGGCCTTAAGGCTGCTGGAGGGCAGGATGCTTTCTAAAAAGCCCTGTTCACTGGGACACACACACCAAAGTGAATTTCTCACAGACATCACGTTGGGGCAGAGGGCTGAGGCTGGAGATAAACTGGCCTCCAGCCTCCTCAAGGTCTCTGCCACGCTGCGGGCAAACTGTCTTCTGGTGCTGGAGCCAGGCAGAGCCCCCGGTGCTGGAGGTGGTGAGGCAGCTCGTGCTCCAGCTGACTTGGGCTGAGGCGTGCACCGCCATGCTGGGGCACCAACAGTCCAACCTGGGTGTTTTCGTGGTGCTCCCTGTTCCCAGTCAGTGCCCAGCCTGGCGCTTTAACATAACTGTCGGTCTCCTCGCCGAGCAGACCAGGATTGCTTTTAAAGCTTTAAACCTGCCTTTAAACACCAGCCCGAGGCTCCCACTCCATCCCTGAGCAGGGGAAGGACAAACCCCCACTATCTTTTCCCTCCTACTTAACATCACCATGGCTCCAGCTCAAGGCCATCCAGCCGTGGCTTTTGCAGAGCAAAGGCAGGCTGTGAACCAGTAAAAAAGCCCTGTTAACACCACTCACGGGACCAGTCCTACTGGGGGAATCTCAGTCTGCTGGGAGTCTGGTGGACCTCAACAGGGAGCAGGACCCCCAGTGCTGGAGAGCCAGACACGGGTCCCAAGGGCAGGGCTGTAGCCAACAGCCAGCACAGCTGACCACAAATCCAATTTTCCTTGCCAAAAATCCAGGTGAAATAGCAAAGGGTGGGCAAAGGTTGGAGGAAATACTGCCTGGGACAGGTCAACACCCACGGAGGCTGCCTGGGGTTTCCAGCATCGTCCTTCGAGCTCTTTCTGGCTGATTGTTTTTCAAATTGCTGAAGTTTAATAGTATTAGCATGTCAATGGACCCGGCCAGACTATGCAGGGCCAACTGTGGAGGGACTCAGCCTGGACAAGCCCTTAGTGAGAGCAGGCAGAGAGATGCCCCATAGCCCCTGCCCTGGCCCCTCACCCCACAGGGCTCCTAATTCCCCACCAGCTGGGAGCTCCCTGGCTCCTGCTCCAGGCTGGCTCTGCCCCGGGATTTACGCTCCCCAGATGCTGCACCCAGGCACCCAGTGGGATTTTTCCAAAGCTGCTTCTACACTACCTGTGTCTGTAGCCCAGGGAGCACAGGAGGACTCACAGCCCAGCCTTTGGGCAGGTATTTGAGCCCAGGGACCATTTCCCAGTTGCCTCAAGTAGGCAGAAGACTAATACAGCCTTTTTCAAAGGGTAGGAGCAAAAGCAGACTGCTCTGGAGGACAGTCCTGCCTGAGCACGGCAGCTGACACAGACCCTGGCAGGGCGGCCAGGGGTGCTCTGCAGTGCCCCCCCTCCCCGCTGGGCACCCAGGCAGGGAGCAGAGTGGGAGGCGAATGCACCCTGCCCGGTAATGGCCCTGGTTTGCAGGCAGAAGCCAGCCTTCTGTGAGGGGGCTGGCTGGGGCGGGGGATGCACGGTGAAACCTGCAGCAGACAGGATTTGCACCCAGGGCTGGCCCCACAACTCGCCTGTGGTTCACCAGCCCCTGCTGCATCTGCATTAATGGAGCTATAGCAACATGGGGGTACAGTTTCACTCAGGACCTCAAAGATTTAGTAGCAACTAAACAAACACTTAAGGAATTATCTTCTTTTTGCCATTTAATCCTTTATTGCACCACACAATCTGCTTTGCATGGATCAAAAACCTACCATAAAAGAAGGGGTTTTTGCAGCTTTTCTCAATACCTGAATGGATCATTCTCCCTGCAAGCAGAAAAGAGAGGACGGAGGGGAGCTGCAGCACAGCCCACAAAGGTGGTGGAACCTGGGAGAGGAGAGCTTGCCCCAGGGCTGGCTCCTGCACCAGGGTGCCATCAAACACCTTCGGCAGACAAGCTCAGTGTGGAGAAAGGTGGAGCAGGGCTGGTGACCCTTGGGGCTGTTGTGCCTCACAAGCAGATGGGTCCCTGGTGGGATGCACACGAGTGCGGTGCCTGGCTTGGCAAGGATGAGTGTGGACATCCTCAAGGGGAGGTATAGACATCCCAAAGGGGACATCCACAAAAGGGGGGTCTCTCTGCTAACATCCTTCTGGGCTGGCCACTGGACAGGGTCACCTCAGCTTCCTGTGGCAGCACTTTCTCCACGCAGGAGCTGGAAGGGATCAGCCTGTGTTTCTCACCACGTCATCACACAGCCCAGAGGGTGCCACCCCACGGGATGTGACACCGCTGCTCAGAGCAGCTCTTCTCTCTGTGGTTCCCACCTTGTGCCATGGACACAGCCCCTTCTGGGCTCGGTGCTGCTCACCTGCCCGTCCTGACCATCTGGCAGAGGGTGAAGGTGTGACCCAGCCCCACGCCACAGAAAGGCGGGGAGCACGTGCTGGGGAAATCCAACAGGAGCCACAGCCGGGACCAGCAGCGTGCTTGCGCATAAGCAGAGCGATTTGGTCTCCAAAACTCCAAAGGTGACCTTGGGCTCTGCTACTGCAGCGGAGAGGCGCAGGGAGGGCAGGGCAGTCCAGTAAGGCCTCCCGGACCTCGCCCAGCCCGCTGGCACTGGGCATGGCAAAGGCCCACCTGGTGCCCCCTCGATCACCATCCCTGCTCTGAAATACTTTCATGGGAGCGGTGATGTGCTGAGGTTCTGATTTCCCATTTAGAAAGACAAAAAGCCACCCAGTGAAGCACTGCTGGTGCCACAGGGTGGTCTGAGGTCCCTGGGGTTGTCACCCACACTTGCCCCAGCAGCTCCTGTTCCCAGGCCTGGTGCAGCCGGTGCCTCCTGCTCCCTGCCCACGGACACCAGGAACCCCTCGGTGCTCAGTTCCAGGATTCAGCCTTAGCATGGCCGGGGGTCCTTGCGTGGTGCCTTCTGGGGGTGTCACTGCGTGGGTGCCCCTGGTGAGTGTCCCTGGGTGGGTGCCCCCGCAGGGGTATCCCTGGGTGGGTGCCCCTGGGTGGGAGTCTCTGCCGGGGAGCAGCTCCGCGCAGGAGGGGGTTACCGCGGCATTTCCGCAGCCCGCGGGGCCGGGCGGCTGCGGGTCTCCCTCCCGCCGGGCACCGTGTCC